AACTACTTGCCTATGTTTGCTCTTTGACCAAAATTTTAAAAATATTTATTTAACTTTGACGTAGCGATTACTTGTTGACAGTAGTACTCTTTTAAAAGTAAAACATTTTATAAATGAAAACACTTGCAAATATACAACGCACATTTATCAGTGAAAGCTGCCGCATAACCGAGTAGATAAGAGTCGCGACCACCAAGTCGACGTTGGACAACTTAAAGTTGAGTTAGGGTTTGACCATTTTTGGCTCCACTTGTAGTGAATGCTCATTGCGACCATTCCCTATCTCTTTCCCTATCTTCAGGTCTTTCCGTCCGTCACCGTGTTACACATATGGGGACATCACTATGGATTGGTCCACACAAGTTTCGCACATTCGAGAGGCGAGATCTACAGTAGATTTTTTACGTACCTAAATATATTATATGTAAAGTTCGTTTATCGTCTTGTCAAAGAAAGTGCTCAATGCCATCGAATTAAAGTCAATTAAGGAAATTATTCATTTATCATATCATCGAGAAAGGAGAGGGGTTTGATTCAAAGAATTCGATACGTTTAATATCAATACTTTATAAAACAAAACCTATAGATTCTTATTAGACTAATGAGATATGAGTCAATAGTTTATGCAGAAACAAGCCATAAGCCGTATTCTTAAACGTAAGAGCGTTGTAGGTCGCTAGATGTGTGGCCGTCAAATTAGGGGCGAATCCAACCTATTTCAATATCAGGAACACTAAACATAGATACAGGAAAACTTTAGTTGGAGCGGAGTCATAATGGAGTCATAGCATTACTATACACCGTAAACGGCGAAAAAAAGAAAGTAGCAAGTGGTAGAAGTTGACCCATCAAACACAAACTATTGCCTTCTTGCTATAAAGTTTTGATATTACAATAAATGTTGGAGGTATGCTTGGATCTATCCATGTATTCCTGCGTGTAGAATTCTCAAAATAAATCCACTTTTCGGCACCAATAACAATAGGATGTAAAAACGATTTCCTTTTAGCATCGTTCGACAAAAAAATAATGCCGTCGGCGAATGTTCTTTTTTTTGGTTTGCAAGATACTCGATACATTGAACACAGTCGCAAACTAAGCGGTTGTACGAAATTCCCATTGTTGTGAGTTAAAAAATTCTTTGTCTGATGTCATCAAGCGGTTTCACAGTAACTACATTACCAGCTCGGGTCATCTATGGGCGAATTCCGATTTTAGATTTACATACCTGGTACATTTGTGTACTTGTAGGGATGCTTGAGGTTGAGTTTAAGACAAAGGTCGTTCTCTCACTTGTTTACGTAAAATGTAAATCGTTAAAATTTGTCAAATCGAGAACATTTTTATGTAAATGATTTGTTTTTTACCGTCTTCATATAATCTTCAAATAAATAAAATTTTATAACCAAAACCTGACTTTTATAAAATTGCTCCCTCGTCAAATGTAAACAGCGCGAGATGAAAAAAAAAACAAAAAACAAGAAGAAAAACTGCTACAAGTACTAACATAAATTTTAATAATAACAATCGTTCGTATAATGCGTACATACTTACATAGCTCGCGCAATTCTCTTCTTTTTCTTTTTTTAAACAGCTATTCGCGGTAGTAAACGTAAAAATACAAAATTTACTATCATTAATTTATCCTTAGTATATCTTCGTGTTTGACGTCGCTGCCCTACGTAGGGAACAAGTTTGCCTGAGATAAAATATTAAAAAAGTTATTCTTTCTCATATTTAAATCAACCCCACCTAATATTAATGCAAGCATGAGCACGGAAAGTTTATGTAAATACATTTGCATATACACATACATATACACATATATACAAACTTACAATGTACGTTATATAAGAACTTCATATTCGATCGCTTGTAAAATACCATTACGTCACAGTAATAATTCCCATATATCTAAAGTGCATTTTAACAATAACACGCACGAACAGTTGTAAGCATTCGTATAAATATGTCAACACTACTAGGAAAAAGAAAACAAACCAACATATTTTTTTTTTTGTTTCCTTTTCATTTAAATCGTAAATAAATGTCGTCTTGTGTACGCGTGTGCGTGTGCGTGTGCGTGTGATTGTGTATATAAGGGGAAGTGTGAAAAACCAATGTAACCGCCATCCGTTGTATGAACTGACAAAGATAGAGATAGAAAGGATAAAATATTAGAAGAAGAATCTGTTTCTAACATAAAAGTTAATGCTGCTTCTTATTCAAAAATAAACTATTTTTTATTATTTCTCCAATTTTTTCGCACTCACTACACTCACTATGCACATAAACTATTCGTTTAAGAAACACTAAAGGGTTTTTATTTTTATTCATTTCTTTTTATATTTATATTCTTTACCCCGTAGCTATATAATATAATGTAGCTATGAAGCTATGCGAACCCTATTTTGTTTTAAACAATACAATTTAAGAATACAACAACAAGTGGTAGTATTTGTAGCAAACAATAAAAATGTCATAAATCTCGTTATTTACTTTATTGTTTTTTATGAAACTTTAACTTATAGTTATCTGCTATCTTTGCGAATTTCTTATGCACAGACACTTACATACTCATAGATACAACATAAGGACTCGTATAAGTTTCTTATCGTAGTTTCCTGCTGTGTTATTTACATATTTATTCAATGTTTTGCTTTTTATTTATTATTATTCAAGAAAAAACTCAAACTGAGAGATGATTTGTGTTCAATATATGCATAATGTTTACTCTGGGTAATAATACAATCAGTGTTTTTCTTATTGCAGCGAGCATAGAAAAAAAGAAGCCTTTAGCGACTATGAGAAGAAAACTTCTCGTTCTTCTTTCTTCTTTCAAATTAATTCTAAAGGCAGACTCTATTTGTAACCACAACTGAGCAATTAACCATTTGACCACTTGGTGTTATACGCCAATCTCTCTTGGGATATAAACATTGGAGTTTAAAATACAATAGATACAATAAGCAGCATTTAAGGCACAGGAAATAGACATTATTATTTTGGGCATATATGATATGATTGCACAAAACATAGGAAGTAGAGGTCGATTCATAGTCTCAAGCTCGTTTCGGTCCCATATTTACGTTCCATTATTCAACATCTCATTCATATAACTGATCTTCTTAATTTATTTCCATATACAATTAAGAGCATCAATTAGGTTCGAACAAAGATATAAAGTTAAAGCAGATGGCACTTTCCCTTCTCTCTGAATCCAATCACCATATGTGTAACATCTTGCATCAGTAAGATTAGTTCAGTACAAGCAAGTCCGTAAAGGAGTTTGGTCAGAGAGCAGTGCGATAAGTTATAGCTGGATTAGACTAACTGAGAGTGACGTTGGGCTCTTTGACGTGGCATGTTTACAGTTAAAGTTCTGCAATAATTTGCAAAAAATTAAGTAGGCTTAGTTCTATATACGTTAGATGTGGATGCAAAAAACCAATTTTTTATTCCCTGACAAACAGAGATGCTCTCAGTTTACGTCGTACTAAAAGCATGTCCTTCGACCAATTTGACCCATTTTCATTACCAGTTTGCATATAGGAACTTCTAATGTTTCTGCCAAATTTAAAGTCGACAGCTTCGTTTTTGCGGGTAGGAGAATGTTTGCAACAGCCAATGCACAGAGGAACACTCTTGAATCAGTTCACTACTTGGTCTGCAACGTGTGTAAAGATTCTTTTTAGACGTCGCAAACGTTTTGACAAAGTGAATATATTTCTCATCCTTTGGTGATGGGTATGAAAAATAAACGGAACAATTATTTAACTTCTTTGAAATTTCAATTACATTAATTTTTATGCTGAAAGTATGCTTTACTTTTTAAATATATTTAAAAAATCGACCTATGCTACAATTTTGAACATCGATATGTTTCTACTGACAGCGATTTACTCGATATTCTAGCGCTTTTGTTTTGATAAAATCGAGTAATAGTGCAGTGGAGAAGGGGAGAACACAAGGAATAAAGAAAAAGTGATTTATACGAAGGCTTTATTCTGCAAACTACTATATATATATATATATATTTATATGTAATAGATGTAGTTTTCAACGGCTTTCGATAACCTTAGTGGAAACAAAGAGATGTAGACGTCAGTCTTGTAACGTAACCCTTACGTAACCCAATCGACACATTGTTAGGTTTATGTCCGCTTCTCAAAGTAAACATCAGTTTACAAGCCAAATTCTCTTCATTTGCGGAAGGTTTAAATTTCTACTTGCTTCAATATGAACAATTTGCAGTTGAAGTTCATCAAGCGCTCTCAAATAATATACTTATGGCGAGGCAGCTATCAGTGAAAGAACGTACCGTGAGAACTATGGTATGGCAATGGTAGAGAGACGATTTTCAAAGATGCAGAATGGTAAGCGGTACTTCTTGAGTACTTATCACAAACGCAACAAGAATTGGCAGAAACATTGGGAATGATTCAACCAGAAATTTTAAACCGACTGAAAGTCATAAAAATGATTCAGAAACAAGCAAAGGGAAATATTATGGAACCAAGATATATTGAACGGCATTGGCTTCCTTGTGAACAGCTACTTGAAAGGTAAAGCCGTAAGGTACTTTTACGCTGAAAACAGATTTCATTGCAACAATCCCAAGCATAGCGAGTCCTACCATACTTTCGCGTGCAAACCGAATACTCACAGAACAAAAGTGTATTTGGTGGGACAAGCTAGGCGGAATATATCGTGAGTTACCGAGGCGGTCTGATGAGTCGATCTATATGAAAAGTAACAAACATTTAAACCAAGCATTGAAAGGCAATTCGTCGAGAGAGATGCTACAGAATAATCTTTTACTTGAATGCTTCCCTTTAATGATGTGAAGTCACCTGCAATTGGTCAACAATACAGAAGACAACGGGCTTAGAATTTTTGGCATTATCCAACGTCGGCATTGAACTAGTATGAATTACAATTAAAGCGTTCTTTTTAAAGGACCTATATTTTACATTATATGAGAAAAACAAACTTCACAGTTTCTATAAAACATAAGTAAATTTTATTAGACTTCAATACGTTTTCAAACCGTCAATAATTTGAAACGTAGCGAAAAGTAAATCTCGTCCGCTATTAAAATTTATAAATTAGAATATAATTGAAAATTTTTACAAGAACACAGGCGTATCTATCCTCAGCATTCATAAGGCAATTAATTTACTCTTTACCGAAATATGGAAAAAATACTTATATAAATTAAATGAAAAAAAATAAAAATAAAAAATGAATAATAAATAACTTAGAGAAAAGACACTCAAATATTATTTGAGCAAAAAAAAAAGAAATGTACACACACGCACACACAGTAAATCATAATTTCTAACAATAATCCCGGTCTTATTATTTACATTCGAAAACGAGAATTAAAAAATTAACAATTAAAAATTTTCAATTGAAAGCATTATTTATGAATAAAATCCCTAGGGAAACAAGCGAGCATTAGAAACAATTGCTTAATAATTATATTTTCATATTTGAAGGATTATCACAATAATATATCATCACTTATCACTAAATGTGGAAAATTGAAAACAATTACAAATTTTTGCTATAATAGAAAAAAAAAAATTATGTAAACAAAAAAAACGAAGCAAAAAAAAAACCCTATTTTAAATAATTTAAAGCGAAAAATCTTAATTAAGTAAATGGCTCTTGTTTTGTTGTACAATTTAAATCAATACATAAAATTTATCGAAAAAAAAAATTAAACAAAAAAACAAAAACAATTAAACTAATACATATCAATCACAAATACAAGTTACGTTCGTTTTGTTATATTTATAAAAAATAAAAAATGAAAAATGAAAATAAAAAACTATTTCAATAAAGTGCACGCGAGAGATCACCAACGATCCGTAGCTCCTCTAGTATTATACTCGACGGGTGGATGTCTGCAGGCGTAAAAGAAAAATGCTTAAAATATTGCAATAAAATGTTGCGATTGCTTAACTTACGGTAGCATTCTGGCCAAGGCATGCTTATGTAATGGCGAAATTTGTATAGACGCTGAAGCTATCGAGGAGCCCGACTCTTGACTTAAAGTGCGTTGCATATGCCTAGGATGCGATTGCAATTGCTGAACTCTTCGGAATGGATAACGCCACGGACTTTTCGGTACATCATTTTGAAAAGCTTTGTTTTCAACGCCCGGCGTCGTTGCAGAGACGCTTGCGTTAGCCGCGTGACTGGTGCTAGCTCGCTGTGACGATGCCGTTGTATCCTTTGTCTTCGACGATAAACGTCTTAAAATACGTGATCCTAAACCTGTAGGATCTTCCAAATTGCGACTGTTACGCTTGCGATACCTAACATCGCTGGATTCCTCCAATATCACGTGACGATCATAAGGTGTACCGTAGTAAACCTCAAGCACTGTTGAAAAGGTATGAGGCCATACCAAATCGATTATGGATATCAGTATTCCAGCAATAAAACATAAAATTCCTTGAAAAGACATAACAGTTAAGCATATTTTAAAAGTGTCCTCCTTATCGACAGCATAACGACAATAGTTACCGGCAACCATTAACAGCCAATAACACCAGCCCAAATGAAATTCCAAACGGCCACCCTCGAGATAAATCGTTAACGGTCTTTTTGGCAATAAACAATAATAACCCACATTGGTGCCTATCAGCAAAACGCCGGTTAAAGCCTTCATATAGGCACCATAGCGTGGCACAGCGATAAGTAATAAATTCATTAACAGCCATGAAGCTAACGATGCCCATAACATAATGCTCGCAAAATAACCAGCCGCACGATATTGGCCACCCCATGAAAATCCTTCGCGTCCCAAACTGAAATATTCAGCCACCGTTAATATGGGGAACGGTAAACCGCGCTTCAGAGCATTACGATAATTTGTACTCATATCGGTAGCACCTTCCCAAGTGAAACGTTCATTATAATCAATATCAGGTTGTATCCAATTGCCGACAGGTACAGCTACAAAATTACAATGATAAAGATAGCAAAGCAAAGGAAGAGATTAAAATTACTGAATATATGTAAAAATGTGTGTGTATGTGTGTGTGTGCGTGTGTGTAGGTGCGTGTTTTCGTTAAGCAAAGGGTGGATCACGTTAGTACTTTAAATGGTACATTTGCTTGTTGCCAAAAATTGCTATTTTATTCATGTTGTAAACAAAGAAGAAGCAAAGAAAGATACGAGTGCATATTACTACGCGTTTTCACCTCAAATTTAATTAATCATATTGTAGGTAACATAAAATAAATTGTTAGGTAAATTATTTAGAAATCAATCAAGAAAACGAAAAGATTTTGTTAATTCCCCGTCCTTAGCTTGTAACACATAGTGTTGCAAATATTGGGGATTAAGGTTCTGCTTTAAAGGCGTAAAGTCACTATGTACTTTCCAAAAAGAAAAATATGTTCTTTAATGACTGGAGCTTTGGATCTTCTAGGGTAAATGAACAAAAATTCATTACCTGAGAAAAGCTTTTCGAGCCTTTTCCCGGAATCCTGAGAAGAGACTGTTTAGACTATGTTAAATGAAGCCCAGTGGCTTACCAGATGTTCCTTTATAAGCATAGTTAAATGAAAATATATAAGTGGATGACTATTCATGTTCATTTAAAAGCATAACATAATAAGTAACTCCATCAGGATGACATTGTTTAGGATCTACTTATGTCCGTTTAAACATTATTTCAAATAAATATATTAGTTGTTATAATTTTATGAAGGTGACCGTTGAATAGATATGAGGCTGACGCGGCGATCCGAAACCTCCCAAAAATTAAAACTTTGGGACACGATTTTTGGTATTGATTATGAATTCCGATATTGAAACATGAATTTCGTTACAATGGCGTTATTATTCTTGCTATTCATACAGACATCCATCCGGTCACCTATCTTCACGTTATTGTTCGGATTCCTTCAAGAGCAAAATGGAAAAGAAAGAAGTGCACCAAATCATGAAGGGGACTGAAATTTTTATATAAACATTTCAATCGAATACCTATTCCAAACGTTATGAGCAACAAGCTATCACACTTTGATGGATAGAAACTAAGATTCGACCTGAGTCAAGTAAATCGTTTTCAATGGTTATTGTCAACAAATATGAATAAGTATACATAAAGGCATAAATGCCCGAGTAGGATCGTTATTCTTTTTTCGTGCAAGAATGAGAAAAAAATATTTCGTATTTTCATATAAAAAAAGGGAAATATCTGCCATTTGAGAAGTGTTGGTATGTTTGTCTCGAGGAAAGTTATCACTATTATTATTATTAAATCTTATTAAAATATTTTACTATTATTTTTTGTTCATTGTTCATAGTCATTGTACTATCTACTAAGGGTGTGACAACAGCACAGGCAGCCGCTTTAAGGCATTGTTTGTCTTTACACTTAATTATAAAAGAAATTTATTAAAAATTATTAATCAATTACTTATGAATGTAGGGTGCTTATTCTTGTCCGTAACACCTTCATTGATCGATTACCGAAACGGATAGATTTCAATTAACCTCATGACACACAAGTTTACATTTCTTTACGGTTGCATTATATACCTAAACTCTGCATATGTGAGAGTGTTTAGAATGTGAATAATGCAACCGCATAAAAAACAACAACTCGAAAACAACACCGATATCCACATATATATGCAAAATGTGAGCACCTTATGCGTATGTGCGCCTTTATTTTGAACATAAACATACACATAATACTTACGTGATTATAACAAACATATAAGTAAGTAAGTAAATAAGAATGAATGTGTGCGCGTATATATAAGTATATATATTATGCTTAAAACGAAACATCACTTAACAGTTTCCTCTAAGCTTTGAAAAATATGGACTTTAACAATGTTAACCATGCACTTGCATGAATGACTGAATATTGGAAACAACAGCAAACGGTAGTTTTGAACCTTCAAGTCTACACAAACATACACACACAAACACACACACACACACATAAGCAGACGCACACCTTTATATATATATATATATATATATATATATATATGTATATATATATATATATACATATATATATGTATATAAAATGTCATTACAATAGCGACAACATCACTTGGCATAGGAAAGCATAATGCAGTGTACTGCAAAAGACTGCTATTGTTGTTGTTGTTCTTGCCATAGTTGGAGGGAAACAATCTTGTCAACATCTTTGGCAAACCAACAAACATTGTAGTTAAGTTACAATATTGAAAATATGTACATTCACACGGACCTATATATACATATATTTTACGTATATATATATATATATATATATTATGTGTGTTTGTGTGCGCGTGTGTGTACAAATTGCCGCCTTTGTTACGGTAAAATTTTTGTTGACAACATAGTTGGTATTTGCCATCCACGATATTATATATATGTTGGCGTTAGGCTGATGCCTAACACGCAATCTTCTTATGCATACAATACTCATACATTAAATGCATATGGGAACGTACCGTGAAATTCCTTAACAACGATCATAGACATATATCTACACATAATTATTGAGATAAGTTTTTTATTATATTTTGCATTCTTCGCAATCGATATGATTAAGTAACACTGATAGGGATGACTTAACTCTAAATAACGATTTTCAATGACTTTCACGGCATTTATAGATGTATGTTTAAGCGCTTTCAGCTAAATGTGCAATTTCAAACACTTTGGCCAAGTAATTTTGGTGTATGAGGAATTAATGCAGCGCTTCAAGTCAAAATGGTAATAATTTTGCATTTAAATTACGCACGCACGCACGCACGCACGCACGCATATGTGTGTAGTATATATGTATATATATTAATATATATGTGCAGTGTACACATTAATAACCACCCGTACGCACAAGCAAGTCGTTTATTGTAAATACATTGCCTGCAGTAATTCGTACAAGCATTTAAAGATCTCTTCAAAACTTACGCATACAATAGTTTTCTGCTGCTTTTTGTCATATCTTTAAGTAGCGATTTAAAAATCACTTCTTATTAATTTTAATATAAACAAATTGGAATTTCGTTAAAAACAATTAAGAGAACAATCCTTGAATGTATATCAATTAACATAAAAACATACGAAAATCGTAATTGTGATTGGAAAAATTGTTGAAAAAATTTTTAACTCGACTTTCATAAATATTTACTTAAGATATCAGCGAGATATTGATCGCTACAAGCCCTAGTTTTTTTATATTAAAAGTACTAAAAGAAACTTTCTTGTCCACTAGGTTAGGTTACTCCTAATAGGACAACGAAGTGTTTTTGAGTCACATTTGAAAATGTACACCATTACACATATGTGACTTTTTAGGTGGGCGAGCATCTTGACCGCCATTATCCTTTAATTTCGACTATAAACCCTTTAGGATCATTTTACGGAACCGTAGTCATTTTTGCCTTTGGAACTTCCAGACGATCCCGGATAAACGAATCCAAACCGTTCCTTATCAAGATGTATACGTCAGAAGAAAGCAATTGGCATAGCCTATTCCATGGTCTTGACTACTATTATTTCCCAGTACTTTACAACCTAACTCGTTTTGCTTAGCATATATGCCGCAAAAAGTGCGGTTATATTGCTTTATATAGGCATTGTCAAAAGACAAATTTACTCAATATAGTTAATCTCCGTTGTGTTAAGTAAGTTACATCTATATCTGGCTAAGCAAACAAACATTTTCTTGGTTAAGAAAGTATTCCTTCCATAGATTAAATCAGTGGCACTGTTGATAATGAGGCTGGCTTGCAAGACAATGAATTTGTTGAGAAACTGGAATAAGAGCATCAGAAAACAATTCCGGTGTTGATGATGAACTTTCGTTGAGTAGCAGTGATGAATACGATAAAGAAGAGAATGCGACCCCTAAAATTTATCCTGAAAAAGACGGCAAAATTCGGAAAACCAAATCGTGTGCTCAGCAACAATTGGCCTATCACATTAGAGGAGGTATTTACAAAGTAAAGTTGCCACCAAGTAAGCACACTGAGTGGAGGGGTACGCCTTTTTATTATTCATCGATAATGAAATTATCAACACTGCTGCCAAATCCGCCAAGCTGAAAAGGCAGAGAGTGGCTGTTAATTAATGGGAAAAAGTAGAACTAATCGAACTATAAGCTTTTATTGGCTTTGTTACAAATCTGAGCCTAAAAAAGGAAGGCATAAGTGAATTTAGGGAATATTTTGTGACTAGATATTTATGCGTACCTTGGAATTGGAATCTTTCGAAATGCAAAACTGCGCGTATAGATTGCTTCAATAATTTATGCTATAAACAAAAACAATAGCACTTTAATTATTACCATGATTGTTATAAGTGCCTAATCCTCGCATCGTGGCATGATTCGTCACAAAAACACGTGGATCGAACAAAATAAGAAGAGTTTTTGACGGTAAGTAGAATTACGTGGCACCTAACTATCATTTCGAGTAAGCTTCGCATATCCGTTGCCTAATAGAATGAAAAGTAAATTGGACTTAAATTCATTAATTACCGTTAGAAGTTTATAGTCTTCATAATCGATCATTTGTCGCGTGCTTGTTGAGTACAACACTGTAACGCTGATGCTTATATTACCATGCGGATATGTACCATCGCGTCAATACAAGACATGTTTTGCTATGGCTTTGTTACGTAATCGCATGCAATAAGTGTGCATTTTAAGTGTAAGTAAACATGAGAAACAAATAAACAAAATGAATCAGTAAGAAGTTAATATCTGATTGGGGCCGAATTTTGTATACGGTACACGATACGATAAGAAAGAACTAGTTTTGCAAGTTATTCTCAGTAGATTATTAGTAAGGAAATTTTAGGTGAATTACTAACAGGTTTTATTGAGTTTAATCAAATTCTTTTATCCTAATTATTATTTACATAAATAAACCTTTTTACATCTAATTAACTATTCCGTCCACTATATTTAATTCAGAACAAACACACTTAGC